TATATATTATTATATAGTATATATATATANATATACTACACGACACATATATATATATATATATATATATATATATATATATATATATATATGTATATCGATTTGTGATTTTATTAAGATAGATATATATTTATGTATTTACATATTTACATATTTACATAGATATACATATACATATACATATACATATACACACAAACATACACACACACACATATATATATATATATATATAATGTTTATTTGAGAGACACGTATTTGTCACGATACAGCCATATGTATTTTGAAAGACATGTGAGGCCGCGAGTACACAGAAACACAAGTCATACATTCACCACATACACACAACTACTCTCGTTCACGTGAAAAATAAAGACAATCACACACGCGCGCGCGCGCAGACAACTAGGTAACAAAGCCACATCCTGACATAGAAAATCTTATATGCAATAAATGATTATAATCAATAAAATACCTGTATGATATAAACGGTACTTTAAAATATGAGCTTGTAGATATACCTTAGATCGGCTATTGTGCTGATGTCCATATCCTCATTGTTCTCCGCTATAGACAGACGCCGGAACCATGTGCAGTTAGTGAAATGGGATACGCCGGATTAAACTCCGCGAATGCCATTACAATCGACGAGTATGCAACAACAGGCATACCGAAGTATCACTATTAGAAGTATGCCATATATTTAAATGGCTTAAAATTTGTGTTTGTCATTGCGCTGTTGAAATAACTAGGCGGTGTGGATGGATTGGATGGATCGCAGGCGGTGGAAAATCACACAACAGCGGGGAGTGAAATCATAGACATTTATTATTAAACGTTTTTCATCCTTTGAGAGTGTTCGTTTATGTATGTGTGTGTGTCATATGTAAGTGTGTTGGGGTATTTTTAGCGTGTGTGCTTGTTTATGTGTGAAAAGTTTGGGTGTGTACTTGTGTGTATATGTTTGTATATGCTTGTGTGTCTTTGTTTGTATATGCTTGTGTATCTGTGTGCGGTTTGTATACGCTTGTGTCTCTACATGTATGTAAAAAAAGGTATAATTTTGTGTGAGTCCTGTTTGTGTAGACGTAATGACATATTAATTGTACAAAACAATGTGTGGACCCGAAGGACTCTGATATTGCAGATACACAATGATTCTGGCGATGAGATGCTTCGACAGCTAGACCAAAATAATAAAATTAAAACCCTGCTGTTATCACTCTACAGGACATACTAAGTCGGCAAGGATGCGTGTGGAAGTAACCAAACATACAGAACCGATCTAGCTTTCAAAATTACGAAAAGGCAAGTGCACGCGACTATGCGAGTATGCAAAATCCCGCATAAGCTTTCTTCTATATACATATACTGTTGCACAGCTATGTCTATTGTGTATACCTTTCGCGTCCAGAAATGAGTTCAACAGTTGATTGTAATTTTCGGCCAATGTTCGAATAATGTCTCTTAGGGCCCTGTAAGACGAGGGTAAGGTATATAGCGATGGTACGTCACAGCTTCCAATAAGAGTAGCTCAGATAATATGACCAATATACGGCAGTGGATACGTGGAAAGTGAGCACATGCAGGCAGAGCCGCTGAATACTCACGCACTGTTAACGATCCCCTCCCCTCCCACACACCTTAGGGCTTAGAGCCCGCCTACATTTGAGAAATTCAACCGCGCACAAGATCCACACACTTGAATATCGCATCCCAATACGAATACCGCAATTTGATCTGGGCTGATATACATAACACGACCACTGTCATACATGGAAACACACAAAAAACAGCGCTGGGTATGAGACGGGTCTGAATGAGAAAGCAAACACATACTCATTGTCGTGGAATAGATACTTCACTTCATTCTCGTGCCGCTTTTCAAGCTCATATCTGTTAATGAGAATATGAACCAGACACTCAGTATGAGCAGAGGTATACCAATCGATTGAATAGCCAGCCTTAATCTTCAAAATTTGGAGCGAAGAGAAGTGAGCTGAAAGGCATGAACGAGTTGAGTTACAAACTGTTAGTATATGCAGCACATACACAGTACGAGCATTCAACATCAACATCTTCGATGTCTCAGATATCTTGTGCCCGCTCTGTACGGAAGTTCGATCGCATACCCCGCTAATTGTACTACCACGCAGAACGAATACATACAGGGGCAGAGCATATGCGACGGAGGGTATTCAGTGCACCTTGCTTCATGTTTGGTATTTAAAGGTGTAGATACACTCACAATAAGAACAAGCGCATTCAATGTACCTGTCTTTCTTCTTCATGTATGACATCTGAAGTAGAAATGTACTCGATAAAAACAAGCACGAGAAGAAGGCGTCTTGTCAAAAAGCTAGTGCGTCCCAACACGCACGTAAGACTGCCCATGATAAGTACATACCACAGACCCATGCATGCACGACAAGCAATTCAATACACACACCTCCGTGTTTCTCAAAGTCTTATCGTCAGAATCATGTAAGATAAGAATTACAGTACCCGCGTAGAAGTCACATGTACTCAATAGACACATTCAATGCAAATTCTTATGTGAATCACAAAGTCTTGATTGTTGCAGGTGTGTTTGTTCTACGTGTGAGGCTGCCTACGTAAACAATGTTGGATCGCATACGTCACTCATCGTGCGAGTCATGCCGAATCTATTACAAATGACCGATACACAAGTAGTTGAATAGATACAACACATGAGCTAAGGTACACTCGATTCAAACACCTACTTGAGATAGCCTCAAAACCCTGAACCCTAGGATTTTTACCGACAGTCTCGCTTGATGCAGCTGTGACTGATTTTACACGTTAGGCTGGTTTCGTCAATGATGTTCGGTTTTGTATCGAACTAAACATGACAGTTGTACTCAGCTAATACCTGATACCTATTTACGAGAAGCAGACTAAATACCACACAACATCATGGTGCTCTCAGACAACCACCTACGTAATTCCGAATGTCTTGTTTGACGCAGGTGTGTCTGATTCCAAGTGGGCGGCTCCCTTTATTGATGATGTTCGGTCCCATACGCCACTGATCATGCGGATGGTGCTTAGCCCTGTGTTCCGCTGCTCGAGAGAATGAGTGACATAAGTGTATACATGGCAAGACTTCTATGAAATCTACGGAAGTGCTAACCTAAGCTTAATTTAAATGTACCAACGTTTTGCAATGAAACAATATTCGTATATTCACGCCAGTATTTGGGTTCTCGTGCGCTCGTATTGAGGGATGGTCGAGTGGTGTCGACACTACTTTACTTGATTGGTTTTTAGCCTAGCAAGTATATGACTACATGTGAAAAAGTTGACGCAAGTACAGGGCTACTATATAAAACGTATTAAGTGTGACATTACGTACAAAATAGTAATCATCGTCCATGCACACATACATGATTTTTTAGAGCTTGTGTAGCGTATGTAACGTATTTGCTGCTATACCACATACGTGTTTCTAAACACATATGCACTTATGGTGCCAGTATATGCGCTCGTTTGTCAGCATTCTTCAATACTTCTATGCATGAGCTGTTTACATTAACGCATACCTACAATTCATTGAGATTTAGCACGACATTGAAGCGCAAGCAATCGTCAAAAACTACATAGAGAGAAATGGCACATTATCTGAGTTTTTTTTTTTGGCATACACTTTCATTGATCAACAACATCTATATCTCAACATATCACGCACAACATGTACCTTCTGCAGAACTTGCCGTAAACGGTCTTTAGTATCCTCGCTCTCTATCATCTTGCGCTTGTTCCTGCGGGTCGTACAGCGGATGAGAAGATATAAAACACACACAGATGTGATATGTACGTATGTGTATAATTATGTTACAAAATATGCTCACCATCAATAATAATACAAAGTGTACGTGTTTACATATGTTCGATAAAAATATCGCCCGCGATGCTCATCATGGCAACAGAAACAAATACCCTCATGTGAAGTGTAGGTGGCTACAGGTACATGTAGGAAGTGCCTGACAGGAGAAAAAGAAGAAAATAAAGCCAACTCGGAGACATAACCCAAATATATAGCAAATACACCAGAATATGTCACATAGTCTTCTATGCTGATGTTATCATAATGCAAAAAAAAACATCATCGGACTATGCGATGAAAATTTGTACAAGATCTCCCGCAAATTTCAAACAGAAAATACCGAATAGGTGGAAGATACTTTGGTTATCATTGGATGACAGGGGAGTTGAATCAAACACATGCATACTTAAATGTGTTTAAAGTTGTATCGAAATCAACCCACTAATGTGGAATGAAGTCGTCTCGGACTCATCCTCGAACAAACCTGTATTCCAGCTGTGAATTGGCTTGTCTTAATTTATTGATAACTTTCTCCTGATCCTGAAGTTCTTTCACCCTCTTCGTTTCCATGGCGATAGCCTTCCTCCTGTGCTCCGCTAAACTTTGCGTCAGATTGGCCACTTCGTATTCCGCTTTCTGTACGAACGGACGAATAAATGAACTATAAGTTAGTACATATTAGTGAATGTGCTAAAAATGCAATCTTCTGCGTATGTACAGGTGAGTTAGTGATCCCAAACTATCTTTATCTTCACTTGAACATCATTAAATCAAATATGACTAAGCACAATCTTATATGGCCAACCACTCCCATCAGGATCATTTAGATGCGGCGCTTAGATTACCAGCAATACAGACCATATGTAGTTGACTACAAGATATCACGTCTAAGCGCATAGTTCTATAAGCAGCAGAAACATGCGTGTTGAAATGGTGCAGTTTTCAATATATGGTGAGACGACATAAAATGTGTAGATAACTGCGTGCGGTCGTTAATGATGAGTGTACTTTAAAACTGCATATAGAATCAGGGAACTTGTGGCTGAAATCCAGTTAACAATGCTCGGATTGAGAGTGATTCATCGAGGGGGCAATATGTATATGGTCGGTTGAACAACCATCCTAACTTGCATAGTTCACTGACATTTGAATTGTGATGTGCACATGTGTACGTAGGCTAGCAAAACCACACACTTACACACGCACCTTCAGCTTTTCCAGCAGAGACTGCTGTTTGTTGAATTGCACAGTCATTTGCGCCTCTTGTGACTCCCATGCGGTTTTGTATTTCTGTTGCTGTTCGTCTAGTTTATGATACTCCGCAATAACGAAGCTTAAGCAGTCATATGCTGAAATATGAGTATCCTTCTCGCCACTTTCCATATACGTAGAAGTCGCAGGGGCATAGCCCATCTGGACCAACATCTGTTGACAAGTTTGTCAATTCAAGATAGCTTGCATGAGCAGAATGAAAGAGAGGATATCATATATATATATATATATATAAAGATAGGTTAAATTTTAACACACACATATATATATATATACATATATACATACATGATTACATGACTACATATATATATATATATATATATATATATACATACATATATATACATACATACATATATAAT